AACTGGGTCAAAATCTGCACCTGATATCATCCCTTCCTCTCCTTTTTATTCATGTCTTTTCATCATCTCCATGTTTTTTTTTTTTTTTTCTTTTTTGGTAACGTCTTCCTTTGACAAAGCTTCTTTTGTCTTTCTTTTCTATCTTTATATATATTCAATCTAGCTGAGTCTGGCTCAAGGCAAGAAAAGATGAGGTATCCAGAGAGAACAGAAATCCCTTTGTTGTTTTCAATCCCTAGGAATGATTTTATTTTATAGGCAGAATCACATAAATGCCCGAAAAGAAAAAAAACAAAAAAAAACGGCAATTCTTGATTCCATTTGACTCATTCCTAGTCTTTGTCTTGAAGTTAGAACTCTATGTCTGCTTGTCCGAACTTGCTTTTATGTGTCAACCCCAATTCATACTTTATGAAATTTTTACCATATTACTGTTGATTTGCCTTGCATATATTATTTACTTGCTACATATTATTTTTTGCTTTAGTCTTTTCTTTTGCTTGTTATTGCAAACTTTGTCAATTCTGTTGGACATTGCCGTCACTTATTTTGCATCCAAACATGGTTACTCACTCCACAAGACTCCTAAAGGATTCAACACCATTTGATCATGGGATAATTGTTGGTGCTGGGGCTATGGAATACAATATTTCCAAGATATCTAAAAGTGGAGAAAGGTTGGTACTCAGTAACTATCCTAGTCTTAGTTAATCACAATCATGACCCATTCAGACAATACAATATGTTCAATCACCACAAGAACTTGTCCGTCACCCCTCAATCCTACATATGCGACAATACCACATATTCACAAGGGACACTCCATGATGTAAAAATTCATAATGTCTCTAATCCTTAGGAATGACTGCAAAATGCTCTCCCCTCTTCAATCTATAGGTAGAAGCACACAAAGGCATGCTGGGATTTTTTTTGTGAAAGAGGCAGACTGAGGTGCAAATTTTGATGCTGTAGAATTTATCTCCAAGTTACTTTCCAACTTCCCCTTAATTCTTCCACATGTTTTTTTTTTTACACCAAGAAACTGGGTCAAAATCTACACCTGACACCATCTTTTCTCTCTTTTTTATTCATTTCTTCTCATCATCGCCATGCTTTTTTTTCTTTTTTGATAATGTCTTCCTTTGACAAAGTTTTTCTTTTCTATCTTTATATATATTCAACCTAGCTGAGTCTGGCTTAAGGCAAGAAAGTATGAAATATCCAGAGAGTATAGAAATCCTTTGTTGGTTTCAATCTCTAGGAATGATTACAAAACACTTGCCCCTCCCCATTTTATAGGGAGAATCACACAAATGCATGCTGGGATTTTTTTCATAGCCAATATTTTTCCTTAAAACTTCCTCATTACTCACATGTTCAGTCCAAGGAAAATTAGCATCATACTGTAGAACCATATTTCTGTTGCCTCAAGTTTCTCCTTCATCTATGAGGAAATTGACTGACAGTCACTGCCATGAGAGAAGATCAATATTATTTAACAATTTAGTAATCTTTTCTGTTTCAAATTGAATTTTCCTGTTTGTTAATAGTTAGTTTTTGGAAGGCATCTTTTATGTGATTTTGGTATCTCTGACTTTGAGCTCACTATTGGGATGTTCCTCTTGCTGACAACCATACATACTGTCTTCTTACCATTGATAGTTAGTCCTTTGTTCTCTCTTTCCTTTACTACCTTCTTGCAATTTTCTTTTTGTTGGTTACCAACACTGTCATTTGGATATCTTATGTTGTTAAGATCATATCCACCATTTATAAATCTGTGTAGGTTTTCCAGTTCTCTCAACATCATTGGCTATAAAGTTTGAATAATTTGGGAGAGAAGACACATTCACGAGTGATATTGGATGGTAAACATCACATAGATCTCCTGCACTCTTTACTTCCTTTCTAAAAATACTTTAGATAAAATTAATATCGTAATGTTTCGGTCATCGTATGCTCTGGACTTCTTCAGGGAATTTTGATTTGAAACCATTATTTAATTTATGAGGATATATATTTCTCATTCCATTATCCATGTCTTGTGATGTCGTGTTCCAAAAATAAAGAAGACAGAAGAAGATGAGATATCACTGGATATGGACAGTAGCATGGGAACAATCTATCCCTGTAGATTAAATAAAGTGTTCAGTTTGTATTTCCCAGAAGGTTACCCAGATCAATTGACACCTGAAGAAGGCTGGAGAGCACAGCATCCAAAATGTGAAAATAAATGTGATGAGGACAATAGTCTGACATTTTTAACATTATAAATATAATTTTTAGTGGGTACATGTTTTTGAGTTGAAATGTCTTTTTTCTTCTTTTTTTTTTTTAATTAAAAAGTGAAATTAATATCAACCAGCTTAGATTGAGAAGTCATATTAAAGAAAAATGTGGCTCTCAAGAGGAAAAAGACCAGTATGACCTTTTTCATTCAGGGAAACCGCTCCTATCGCCAAAATGTGTTGTTGCCAATTTGGTCACAGGAGACTATCATGATAAAGCAAGGCTTACTTACCTACTTAAGGAAGTCAGTTTATCTCATAAGGAAATTTGGATTAAAAAATTCCATTTCAGAATCACTGCGTTTATATTTTGAGTGCAAAAATGTAGCTAATATATTTAGATGTGACGAATTCCCAATTAGATTGTAGGCTGGTTGTTTTGTTTAGCAGTATATCAACACATCTATGGGTCATTTATTGCCAAAATCTAAATATGAATATTCAAATTTTATAATTAATGCAAACTGCTTTATAATTTTTTTAATTTTTTGATATTTTTCTTCGACAATCTCTGCCATATCTTCAATTCTCCTATAAAATGTATTGATTGTCATTTCGCTATAAAAATGTATTGGTGGTCATTTTATAAAATTTATTGTTTATCATTTTGCTATAAAAATGTATTGTACTGTGAAAATTTATTGTGAGTAATTATACTATAAGATGTATTGTGGTTAGTATACTATGAAAATATATTGTTGGTGATTATATACAATACTATGTGGGTAATTATATGATAAAAATGTATTGTGGGTAATTATATTATAAAATTGTTTTGTCACCAATCACACTATGAAAATATATTGTGGGTTAATTACACTACAAAAATGTATTGTGGGTAATTACACCATGAAACTCTATTGTGGGTAATTACACCATGAAACTATATTGTGGGTAATTACACCATGAAACCATCTATTGTAATTACACCCTTGAAACTCTATTGGGTAATTACACCATGAAACTCTATTGTGGGTAATTACACCATGAAACTCTATTGTGGGTAATTACACCATGAAACTCTATTGTGGGTAATTACACCATGAAACTCTATTGTGGGTAATTACACCATGAAACTCTATTGTGGGTAATTACACCATGAAACTCTATTGTGGGTAATTACACCATGAAACTCTATTGTGGGTAATTACACCATGAAACTCTATTGTGGGTAATTACACCATGAAACTCTATTGTGGGTAATTATTCAATAAAAATGTATTGTAGACAATTATACTATGAAAATGCATATTGGATAATTATACTATAAAATGTATTGCCAGTAATTATACTAAAAATGTATTGTTGTTATTTAAACTATAAAAATGTATTGTTGGTAATTATAAAAATAGTATTGTGGCAATTTTTTTTATAAAAATATATTGCTAGTAAGTTTACAATAACAATGTATTTTTATACTTTCCTAGTATTTTTATTTCTGTTTGTGGGGGGGGCACTATTTGCTTATATCTGAGACCAAAACAGATGCTACCACACCCCAAGTCCCAATTAAAGACGTTCATTCCTTAAACAGGTGAAACTCTATTGTGGGTAATTGACTCTTTTGGGTAATTACACCATGAAACTCTATTGTGGGTTCATTCATTGTAGAACAATAGCTATGAAAATGCATATTGGATAATTATACTATCAAAATATTGTTGTTATTTAAACTATAAAATGTATTGTTTATAAAAATAGTATTGAAATTTTTTATAAAAATATATTGCTAGTAAGTTTACAATAACAATGTATTTTTTATACTTTCCTAGTATTTTTTATTTCTGTTTGATGATAAAAAGATGCTACCACACCCCAAGTCCCAATTAAAGACGTTCATTCCTTAAACAGGTAATTGACCTTTGCTTCATCATGATAGCCTACCATGATCAAAATGGTAATAGCTCTTTTTGCAGGACTATAGAAAAAAAGGAAGATTTACAAATATCTATCTATGCTAATTGTTATTAATTTCACCGTTTAAGAAAATTAAAAAAAAAAAAAAAAAAAACAGTGATGTTAAATCAAACAGGTTTCCCCATTAAAAACAACTTTTATAATAGAAGAAATAATGTCAGATAAAAAAAAAATCTGTTTAAAATTTACTTACCGTAAATAAACGTTTGCTATTCCTTTGAAGTTAAATTTGAATTTAACATCACAGAGCAAGAGAAGCACAGAAAAACAATAAATAACTGATTTGACATAAAAGAACTTGTGAAGAGCCATGATCACCCACATCTTAAAAAATTAACTTGAATATAAGAAGTGAATGGATGGTAGAAAAAAGACAAGTAGGGTGAGTAAAGAGTTAAAAGTTATTGCGAACAACAAAAGACAGGAAGTTGTGGAGAGCCATGGGACACAGCATATAAAAAAGTGAATGGTTGGCAGAACAAGTACAAATAAGTATAGTAAATGGTTAGAAGTTGTTTAGAGCAACAAAAGATGACAGGATGTTGTGGAGAGCCATAATCAGCTTCACTCTGAAGGGATGTGGTACATGAAAGATGCTTGACCAATCCCTGACTAACCAATGCTTCCTAAAACTACTTCCTTCTTCTTATCATTTTGATAAAACAACTCCCAAATATTCAACCATTTACTGTCTCACCACGTCTTCTCCTGGCAGGACTTCCTCTATTTTTCACCCTCCAAAACAATTTCTAATTTGTGTACGGTGTTAATGCCTTCACATCTTTTTCCTCTCCCATGATCCCCCTCATCTGTCTGTCCTTGCTTTCCTCCTTCCCACTCCATACTCAACACCCTTCTTTCATTCATCTACCTCCACATACCAATTTGCTTCTTCTCCTCCTCCTTCTTCCCAAAACTTTCTTCCCTGCCTCCTTCCACTTTCATTATAACCGTTGGCTTGAAGAAGAGCTACAAGGATTTTTCTTAATCATATTAGATAATAGACAGACAAAATTTACCAGTCAGATTGTGGCAGTAGCCAAAGAAATCAATTTCCCATATACAACACAAGAAAACTCAGCATCATTTCAATTCAGACTAAAATGTCTGACACTGTAAAAAAAAAAAAAAAAAAAATAGGACTACAGAATTATTATTTAGAGATATTAACGAACAATGATAAAACTGCTGAATTTTTTTCTTATTGGACTTATTAAATATGATTCAATGAATATTTGAAGCTAATTAAACTGTAAAATTCATTCAAACCATTATTTTCGATAAATCACAATAAATTGTATTTTTTTTCCTTTGAATTTCCTTGTGTATACAACACTAGACTAAATGAGAGTTCCTTCATTTAGGTTGGCATCTCAGTCTTACCCTTTCACTCTTGAAATGGTTTAATGTGGCCGTCTCTTCTTCTCCAACAGCTTCTTATCTTTGTTGTAGAGTAGTTTTCACAGTGGAGGCTTGTATTTCACTGAGTCGGTCCTAAAAAGGTTTGACGTACAAAACATTAGGAACTTGATATAATAGTTAATGATGCAGCAATCTAGTTGTGGTGGTTGATACTTTAATGTCCAACATCGACTGACTCACCAACTCAACTGAGCTCACTGGCGACTGCCACTACTACTACTTATTATATGTGAGAGAGTCTATTAACAATAGAATAGGCATGTTCCGGTATAACAATCTTGTACTTCCCGTCTGTAGAACTCCCTTACTTTTATTTGCTTCCCTGATAGCTATAATCTTCGAATGTAATGTCAATCAACATCTGATGCCTTGATCTTGTTCCCGGTCCTTCTCTTCATCCTTTCCTCAAACACCCCTCTTTACTCTTGCTCTCAATCCTCTGTAACCCCTTGTACGCTAGTGGCACTCCCACCTTGCTTGGGTTGAAATACTTAAAAGAAAAGAAAAAAAAAACACTCAAATGGCTACTTCGATAATTTTGTGGGCAGTGATTTTAACCCTTGAAAAGTAGACATCATGAAGTGAGGTTTCTTTGGAGGTCAGCAGATATCATGAATGGATGATTTTAATTATTTTCAAATAATACGGGCATGATTCAAATCTAAATAACTAATCGGCAACTTTAGAATTCATGAGGTTATGATTTACGAGGAGTCCTTCATTTCCAGGAGTATTTGTCTAGAATTAAAATTCATTTGTTGATTCATTTTTTGACAGCTTATTAACCCCTTGCAGGTTATTTAAATCCAGAAAATATTTTTAGATTATAAAATTTTTTTGCAGGGAGATAATGGTTTAGTGATACAAGTCTTACTAATTAATCCATAGTGAGGAGGAAAAAAAAGGTGGATTCATACCTTTCCAAATGGCATTTACATGTAAGTGAATATAAGTAACCCAACTAGAATTGGAACTTAGCTCTCTGATTAGCAATTCCAAGCCGTTATACATTACACTAATGGAACATCCAATGTTACCAAACCTGGTATTCCCAAGCGGTCACTCATCTAGGTACTGACCAAGTTCGATGTTGCTTAACTTCTGTGATTGTACAGTGTGTGAGAATTGATCAGAAGCACACATAGAAAAAAAAAACACTATATACAAGTCCAATGGGCAAAATAGTGGTACACAGTTCAATATGCAAATCAATTCCACAAATGCTGACTATCTCTGTTCCTCAATCTTGGGTAACCAACTCCTCTCACCAAAAACAAGTCTCCTCTTTGAATGAGCGTACCATGATTTTATGCACCTGATCAGCCATGAGTGCCCAGAACCAGCCAATAAAAATGGCTACAAGCAAAACCACCACTTCTGTCCACACGAAGTGCTGCCCAATTCACCTTCAGCCCGAAGCTCACCAATTCACCATCTCCACACTCCATTTCAAAACCTAGATGTGACTCTGGCCCTTTCGGGTTGCCAAGGTAAATCTCTGTTATGTACAAGAACTGGTGTTGCAACTTGATGCAGGCCTTTATTCCTTTGAATTTCCTTAGTTTATACAACACTAGACTAGGGCACCTCAAGATGGTGTAATGGTTAACAAGCTTGCTTTGATAAAACAATTATGAGTGAGTAGTGAGTTTGATCCTCACTGTGTTCCCCCACTTTTGGCCTTGTACCACACCTAAGCTATGCTTGGAAAATCAGTATACAACACTAGACTAAATGTGAATCCCTTCATTTATGCTTAAACAGTAACTTCAGTGGTTCAGGGCAGTGATTTTAATCCTTAAATAGTAAACCTCGACAAATGATATTTCCTTGGAGGTCGGCAGATATAAACAATGGACAAATTTAATTTTCTCCAAAGAAACAGGTATTAGTTATTCAAATCTAAATAATTGGCAACTCTAGTACATATGGCTGAGAGCCACATCATATTGAAACACCAAAGTTAAGCAATGTCAAGCTTGGGCAGTATCTAGATGGGTGACTGCTTAGGAATACCAGGTGCTGTAATCTTGGATGTGTGGGTGGTGTCAGGGATAACAGCCCAAAATTGTTAATCAGAGAGTCGAGTTTCAATTTCAGTTATATTCCCTTATGCGCAAATACTCTTGGGAAAAGTATGAATCCACCTCTTCTCCCCACAACTATGGGTTAATTAGTAAGACTTGTATCACTAAGCCATTATTATCTCAAAAAAAAAAAAAAAATTCTGACAATCTAAAACTATTTTCTGGCTTTAAATAACCTGCAAAGAGTTGATAAGCTGTAGAAAATGAATCAATGAAATACTGATTGACTACATAGGCATGTCTTTTAGATTTATTTGCATTCTCAGTAATATAAATGTATAGAAACTACAGTGTCCACAAAATGAGGGATCAGTTTATATACTGATTGTAATATAAAACTTATCCCCCACTTTATATTCATGTTATTACCTAAAGAAAAACAATAAAAAACAAAACAAAAAAATGTTCTGACAATCTAAAACTATTTTCTAGCATTAAATAATCTGTAAAGAGTTGATAAGCCATAAAAAATGAATCAATCAATGAAATACTGATTAGCTACGCAGGCATGTATTTTAGATTAATTTACATTCTCTGGAATGTAAATGTACAGAAACTACCGTGGCCACAAAATGAGGGATCAGTATATATTGATTGTAAGTGATCCCCCGCTTTATTTTTATGTTATTACCTTAAAGAAAACAAAACAAAAAAGAATTCTGATAGTCTAAAAATATTTTCTAGCTTCAATTAATCCCCCACTTTATAATCACGTTATTACCTTACAAAACAAACAAAGCAAAACAAAAAAAGAGTAACAGCTGGCTGTGATCAAAGTGTAGTATCTGCACTCAGGAAAATTACATTTTTATCTGGCAAAATTCTTAACCTATTCCTATTGATGCCAGCACGATATTAATTGGGAACTCATTTTAATTTCTGAACTTGGCCCAAGATGCATGTGCTTTGGCTCCCCAAAACCAGACTTGTACCATTATATCTATGTCCATTTGTATCATTATTATTATTGAAAAAATGACCAAATGAAGATCTTATAGAATTCCAAACAGGCTACATACCTAAGGTCACCAAACCCAGCATCACCATCACTGACAAACAAACAAATAAATGCCTCCCCATTGATGTGGCTGTCTCTGGTGGGGACCCAGAAGGAAATGAGTATGCAACAGAAATTGAATGTAATCATAATAATGAAGATTTGCAGGATTGGATGATGAAATCTGAACTGAAACTGAAAGCCTACTTGTAGCAGCTCAAGACCAAGCCCTGAATACTAATTCTGTTTGGAAGACCATCTATCAAAAAGTAGATTTGTGACGAATGCAGGATGTGTGGCATTGAGGGTAAATATGTCTCACACATCATTAGTGCTTGTAAAATGTCTGTGTAGAAAGAATACAAACACTTCCATGATACGGTGGCTGCGCATCTGCATTGGTGCCTATGTAGGAAGTGTGGACTTAAATTCAACAAATGTTACCAATACTCACCAGAGAATGGAATCAAAAGTGACCAAGTCAAGATTTTATGTCATTGAAAGAAAAAACAAACAAGAAAATGACTCATCAATGTGGCTGTCCCTAGTGATCATAATCTCAAGGTCAAAGAAATCAGAAAGCTTACAAGTAAACTGACCTTCAGAATCAAGTTGCCAGAATGTGGGAAACGTTGAAGCTATTATTGTCCAAATTATGATAGGCAAGTTGGGATATATACAACTGGACCTAAAAACATACATTAAGGAAATTGGAATAAATCCTACCATCTCATTGCTTAGCTTTGCAAATATTTTGAAAATGGTGCTACTTGTTTGAGGTCATATGAGTTGACAAAGAACACAGACGTCACAAGATTTGCAGTTGAAAACCCAGAACCGAGCAGAAGAAATGATAATATTAATAATAAAAAAAAACCTGCGTTAAATAAAGACATAGCAAAAACATCAAGAAAGTACAAAGTTTTTAGCATAGCACACCCTTAAAATAGAATATCTTTTGAAAAATATATAATACTAGTCCTTTGCCAAAAAGAATCTCCCATGGAGACAATTTGAGGCAGAGGTCTCCCCAATCCACAAAGTAAACAAAAAGATGTTTCAAAGAAATCAGTAATATCTGGAGATCATGTAACGGGTTTCAGATGGCTTCATTTTTAAGTTGTTGGGTTATAAATATACACAAGAGTATTATTGAATTTGTTGGAACAAGATCACAAATTTAGGAGTGTCAGGCAAAAAGCTGCCTTAGGGGTATGGAGCTGGCAATGGAATGGTGTAATGATACAATCATTATCAGAATGTCTGAGGCAGGGATTTCTAAGGTGTGGCTAATTCTAAAATGGAGTTTCTATTGATGATCTGATGAAAACAGCAAAACAAGAAAGGGTGAGGTTTTATGGTGTCTGATTTTGAATATAGCAAATGTATTATTGTTTAAAAAGGATCAAAATAAAAACAAATCCAAACTGCTTATATTGGCGATTAGATGTCTATCTTGCTATGTTGCATTGATACGAAATGTCATTATGTTATAATACACAAGAAAGAATAAAT